ACAGAGAGCGCCGAGAGATCTGACTTCTGCTTTAGCTCAATTTGTCATAATTTCTACCAAGCCCAAAAGGATTTTATCCCTAATTTAATACAATCTTTTGAACATTTTTGCTCCCCAGACCCTGTAATGGATTGCTCCAGCACCTCACTCATTTAGTGGTGAAGGACCTACTAATTTCCAGCCTAAATTTATTCATGGCCAGTTTATACCCATTTGTTCTTGTGTCAACATTGTCCTTTAGTTTAAATTGCTCCTTTGCCTTCCTAGTGTTTATCCTCCTGATGTATTTATAGACAGCAATCATATCTGCTATCAGCCTTCATTTTGCTAGACTAAACAAGCCAAGCTCTCCTAGGCTCTTCTCCGATGATGGGCTCTTCACTGCTGGCACCTGGTCGGAACCGGGTTGCTCAGCAGTGAATACGAGGGACCTGGATTGTGCACAGCATCCCGATGAGCCCTCGGTGCTTGGCACAAGGAATTAATATTGCCCTATCTGCAACGCTAATTCTGCAGGTGAGGCATTTGCCGAGGGCGTTTGTGCCAGTCCCCCTCGCTCATGTCCAACAAACCAGCTTCCAGAAAAGTTTTGTTACTGGTCCCTTGCTGCATTATCTTGTATTTTGTGCTAGTAAATCACATCTTGTCTCTGTTATTTAATTGTCAGGTCACCCTTCTTCCAAGCTGTTCCTTCTTCTGTGCAAGGCACTGCTATCTCTTTAACCAAGCCCTTGATCAACTTCTCATTAACCAGCTTAACCAATTTCTTCAACTAATTCCCATCTTCTGGAATTTAGCTGATGTGTTTCTTTGTGGCACTGTATCAGATGATTGACAGAAGAGCAGACAGATTAGATCTGTCACAGTTCCTTTAATTATTCTTTCCTTCATAATTTTTTCCTTCAAAAGCCCTTCTTAGTTTTTAGGTCAGACTAAAAGCTCTCCTCTTATCGAGATGAGGGTTTTTTTTTTCCTTGGCTTAAGTAGAAGCAGCACATTTACTTTCCTCCAGTGTGAAGATTTGTTAGATTTATTAAAAATACTGGCCACTGGACCTCCCAGGGGCTTCACTGGGGCTGGGTTTTTAGTCGAGACCCCTCGGGACAGAGGGTCATTTCTCTAGTTCCCCAGCATCACTATCAGAGCAAACACAGAGTAACCGTTTCATTTCTCTGGGTTAGGACCATTTTGTGTTACCTCTTTGCTGTAGTTTCTGCCCTGTGCTATTTAAAATGTCGTTTTTGTAAAGAAAGAGCATATGAGAATTATTCCGTATGATCAAAATGCCATCAAAAAAAGTCTCTTGTGCTTGGGGGCTTGGGGCTGCTTTTTTTTTTTTTTTTTTTAAATAGTCGCAACAATAATAATAATATTAGGACAACAAACTAAGATGCCCCTGGAGATGTTGTGACAAATTGGAGGGACATGATGAAATTGAAATTGATTGAATAGTTCAATAAAATCAGCTTAATGCGCAAAAGCAAAAAGGTTAGCTGGAGAAAAACAACAAAATCAGTAATTTGTTATCTGCTGGGGCCAATCTCACTGAAGACTGAATTAGTTATAAACTAAAACAACGTACTTGAAAGCACCATCCTTGTATGCCCGCACTGGAGTCTTCCAGATGGAACTGGATGTGGACGGCAACCAATTGCCTAAAGGTTTGACAAATCTCAGACCACTTCCATATGGAGGACTTGGCAGCGTTAGGTTTACGATTGGACTCGATGGTCTTAAAGGTCTTTTCTAACCTAAATGTTTGTATGATTCTATTCTGTGATTTACATGTCTCTCTGTTTCATACAACTTTACATACAAACCAAGGCCGTTCTCCATCTCAGCTGGCACTTCTGCTCTAAGCCAAATAGTTATGTCTTCAGCTGATGGAAATCAGTGCAACTTTGGCGTTGTCTCTAAGTTTCCAGAAGCAGCTCACCTCTCTCCTGTCCCTGATAGCTGCGGCTGCCTCCGGTATCCTGAGACACAGCGCCCATCTCAAGCGCATGCGTTCCTGTAATGACCCTGCCTGATCACTCCATCCACTTGGGATTTGCTACAGTTCCTTGCATTTTCTCACCAGGCTTGGCCTGGCTGTGCTTGCTTGCACATGTGCAGCGCTCCTTTGCCATCCTTCCCCTCCTCCCGTCCTTACACACCAGCTCTTTTTGGCTGGTACATTTGTACGTTACTCGGTTCTGGGCATTCTCCTCTTTGGCATTGCATTATCTGATGGATAGAATCTTTCTTTTAAGTTTCTTTAATATAGTGTTCTGAATTTGTGTGGGGTTTATTAACACTGTGCTACGGTGCTCAGTGAAAGGCACTTTGTTAAATAAAAAAACTTCATGGTAAACCTGAGATGAATAAGGCAGGGTCTGTGAGTACGCACACACACGTGTGTCATCAGAGTACATATAATTTAATAAGCAGGAAAATGGTGAAGTTAGCGAAACTTTGAAATGAGACTTTCTAGTCCCTTACCCCCTCTTGTACATGAGGATTTGTTTTTCCAGGGGAAGCTTTGCTTCAGAGGTGGACAAAGCAAGCTGGAAAGGAACTGAAGGCGGTGGGAGGTTTGCAGGCTGGGTCCCGGCATGAATAAGTGCTGTGCAGACGGAGTGTGACCTTACCCAAGGTCTGCAGTTTGTTCTCGGAGTTCAGCTTAAAGTTTGCATAACAGTGTCACGGGTTTCAGAATTGCTTTTGACACCGCGCCGGAGCTGCCTTTGCCGTGCCCTGGCTGGAGGCGTGCTGGCGCGACAGCCCCGGCTGGCGCTGCTGGGGACCCCTGGGAGCGTCACCTGCGAGCCCGGCGGCGCTAAGGGGGTCAGGCTGCAAGCACGGCAAAATAGAGAAACGCCAAGTTAAGAAAGAAGCACCCCCGCCGATGGAGGCTGTTCCATCGCCCTTTCGGCTGACGGAAAGGAAGGAACGGGGTTGGGTTTTGGTTTTTTTTTTTTCCAGCAGTCGCTGCTGAAGCGCTGATGCTTTTACAGTAACGCGCAGCAGCTACGCCGTCAAACCCGAAACTCTGTGCGTTACGCGACTCCGTCTCGCTGCAGTGAGGAACATTAGGGGTGGCTTTGCCATTTAAATGCGCTATTGAAATGGAGTCTCTCGTGTGGGCCTCCGGCCTGGTTTTCTAATTTATGTGGAATCAGATTGCTGCTTTTTTTTTTTTTTTTTTTTTTTTTCTTTTAATATCTTCCCCTCTTCTGTGATTTATACCTAATTTGGCTCACAAGTATTTGGCCTGTTAGGGAATACTTCTGTCAGCCTCCCAAGTTGTCTATAAGAGAGAAATAAGGAAGGAAAAGCTAAATATGAAATAGAAATTACGTTCACTAATAAGGACATTTCAGCCTCACAATTACCCAGTGCCTTACAAATGGAGCAATGAACAGCAACTTTCTGCGTGAGGCAAAACAAGGGCTAACAACAGTTTCTCCCTCATGTTCTATTATACGAGGTAGCAAGAGATAATGAAAGTGCATTTCCATAAAATATTCCAGTTGCAAGGTGCTGATGGATCCCTCTGTGTGATGTCTTGTCAATTTAGCAGGTTAATATCTGTCAATTAAAAGTCCTGGAACCAAGATAAAGCTAAAATTCAGACCTCTGTTATTCTAGCAACTGAGAAGAATTAAAGCATTAAGCCAGTTACAGAACTTCAGGAATGTTTATGTAGGAGTAGAGAGACCTAACTGACCTAATTCTTGCCCTTTGCAATTTCAAAGGACATCTGACACTTTGCACGCGCCTGTGACGACGGCGCGTGAACGGCGCAGCCCTCGAGTGTCGAAGCTGTGTTCCGAGTGCAGGAGCAATCCTGCGGCAGGGCTCTCCACCCAGTGAAGTCCCTCCGCGTGGCTTCGCACAAAGCTTGTCCTCCGCTTGGTTTTGATGCCCTTCAGGCTCTCCCATGTGCCGTCGGAGCCACGTGGTCCTCGCGTCCCGGCTTGCATCTGCAATTACGCCTTAAACCTTGAGGAATGGGGCTTTGCCCTCAGTCACACCGATTTTGGCTGGATCTCTCCCTGGTTCCTGGCATGGCACCTTGGCCATATTTCAGGAGAGGAACTTTGTTTTCATACCCGCCTGTAAAGCACTCCGTGTACCCTGAGCATGACACATGTAGGCATCAATGGTAAATTCAGCAGATCCAAATGAAAATTTCTCACTGGGGCCAGTTTTAAAGATGAGGAGGCTTTTCTCAGTGCGGGCAGATACTCATAGGTAAAGAGACATCCCAAGGAGATGTACATACATGCAGGATCAGATGCCCTCTCTGGTTTTATTTAGGTTTATTTTCCAGTTGCATGGACATGCAGCATCTTCTAGAAGAACTTTAATGTGTGATGTTTATGGCTGGGGCTGCCAGGCTTTTTTTTTTTTTTTTTTTTTTTTGAGAGTCGTGTTGTTTGGGGTGCTCAGGAATTTAAATCTGTTCTGCTGGATTTTTCTTTATTGCGGTGAATGGGTTTTTTTCATACTAGACTTCAATTCAGCTTATTTACTGAGATTGTGTTAAGGATTGAAACATGGGGCGGGGGCAGTATTTTAAGTATCAAAATGCTTTGTGGGCACCAAACTGTGAGTGGAATAAACTGGAGGGCCACCAGGCAATGTTGCTGTCAATTTGGGGGGTCAAATGTTCTTGGTGATGTTTTTAGTGAAAACATATTAGCAAAATTTTTCCTGCTTTTCAGGAGACAGAAACTAATGTTGCTGAAAATGCTTTAAAATTAACAAAAACGTCTGTTACAACCAAGGATTTTTGCCGTAAGATTTTTATTTTCTCATAAAACAGGTGATAGCCACCAATCTATGCAGAAATCCCTTCAAAAACATGATAGAAAATTTTATCTGTCTTTTACTAATGCTTTGAATCCAATTAACTTCATCTGCCTTAAGATTGCACTTGTATATGGAAAATAAACCAAGGCATTTTACAGGATGCATTTTTGTTTCTCATCTTTTCTTTTCTTTTTTTTTTCCAGAAAGTTCAGCAATACATAGTCATTGTTCAAGCCACAGATATGGAAGGAAATCTTAACTACGGTCTCTCAAACACAGCAACAGCGATCATTACGGTGACAGATGTGAATGACAACCCCCCCGAATTCACTACCAGCACTGTAAGTATCAATACATCAGCACAGTGATGCATGGACACACAACATGTTTGTAATTCATGGACGTTTAGAGCCGTCGTCTGGGGGTGGGGAAAGGGGGGAAAAAAGGCAAAAGGAAGAGAGGAATGATTCATGAACAAGCAAAACTACTTGGCAACCAATTTTGCTGAGGTACTAAAGGAGCTGAAATAATGTGGCAAACAGCCTATGTCTGATTGCACCAAAGAGGATACAGTTGTTTCACAGCAATTGGCTGTAGACATACCGGAGTTGTTATTACTTATGAGTGAAATCCAGAGCAGTAAGAGATATCTGGGGTTTAGTAGCTCGAATACGATTTCAAGGAAGCAGTAAGTACTCTAAACGGTAACAGGTACCCGGCAAAATTTGTGTTTCGCTGATAGCTCTACCAGATGTATTTGTGTGCGCCGGCAGTAAACGTGTAGACATACCTTAGTGCGTCTGGTTTTAATCAGTTAAAGAGCGTTCTTGCATTAGTATGTTATTGCTCGTGTGCTCCAAGTCGCTATTACTGGGGGAAGAGGGGAAAAAATAAAGAGATTGCAAATGACAAATTATTAGAGCTAGTTAAGGTAAAAATGAAGAGTTGGGAGGTGAAATGATTCAGTCTGGTTCTTTCCAGCCTGCATAATGTATAGATGTAGAACATCCAAAGTGGGTGTGGTAATTTTAGAAAAGACAGAGCAGTACAGAGGTCTACATGCTAATGAGTGAGAAATTGTTGTGTATCCACCGTCTATATTCATATGAGGGTCAACAAGGAGCAGCAAATGATGTCTCTTAAACCAATACCAAATCTTTTAAAAATACAGCAAGTCAAACTGCATTTTGCTCAAGTCACTGAACATCCTTTGAGGAATGTTTTTGTTATTTATATTATTCTGAATTTTCATTTGCTCTTAAAAGATATGCAAATAGTTAGTCATGTAGTAGCAAAGTTTCCCCTTAATTATAGCCTTGCACAGTACAAGTATGTATCAGAACTCAAGGAAGTCGCACAGAGCCCAATTTATGCCACCGTGGACCCAGATCCGCTCCATGCCAGCTATGGAGTCTGGGTCCTTCCTTCCCTCCCATCGCCATTGGGACCAGGAATCATAGAATCATTTAGGTTGGAAAAGCCCTTTAAGATCATCAAGTCCAACCGTTCCCCTAACCCTGCCATCCCACCACTAAACCCTGTCCATAAGCACCTTGTCTGCCCAGCTTTTAAATACCCCCAGGGATGGGGACTCAACCCCTTCCCTGGGCAGCCCGTTCCAGTGCTTGACAGCCCTTTCAATGAAAAAATTTTTCCTAATGTCCAACTTAAACCTGCCTTGGTGCAACTTGAGGCTGTTTCCTCTAGTCCTATCGCCCCTTTACAGATGTGGTGGGCTCAGCTCCTGAGCAGTGCCAGCATTTTCTGATGAGGTGACTTGGACCTAGATTGTCAGAAAAAGGAAGGTACTAAATTCCTCCTGAATCAGAGAAAAATGGGCACCCGACATGTTTTCAGGTCTGGGCATCAATCTTGCAGCCTGCATTGCTGCTCCAGCAAGTATAGGGTGGGTTTAACAGCAGCACGTGTTCTTCCTATCTGTCACGGTGAATACACCGAGCTTTGGATTGCAAAGTTGTCATCTCCTTTAGTGTGATACATCCCGTTATGAAAAGCCATAAGAATCTGATACGAGTCTTGGGCTGTGTGGTCCTTTCTTCTGCCAGCATGAGATCGTTCTCTCTTGAAAACTTTATAGCGGTCACGCTTAGAGTTTTGTGTCTCTCGGACCGTGGCACTTAGCACCACAGCAGTACGTTTGCCCCAGCTTGCTGGTGTTTGCAGGGGGGGAACTTATTCTGCCAGGTAAATACTTCTTCAACCTACACTTGAGTGAAAAATGAATGACATCTAGTGGCCATGTCACTTAAGCACAGGCTGTTCCGATGACCCGGGTTGCCTGGTCCTTGTCTCCAGATGCAAGTCAGGAGGTGAGGTTTTGGGTAGCATCGGGGTTAGTCTCACCTGCATGCCGGTGCCTTCTGGAGGGCAGCAACCATCCAGGTGTGGTATTTTAATGTCTTTCCAAAAGACTTCCCAAAGCTGAATCTGATGGAAGGCGAGATAACGGAAATTTGGTTTCAGGTGAATTCTGAGTATTTAATGTCTTGGTGTGTGTTAGACCTAGAAGGAATAAAAGCCATCAAGAGAATTACCCATAGGATTGTGTTAAATGGATTAGAAAACGCTATTCTACCTCTAAGCAGGGTTGATGTGTACCATTATTTCTCTAATTTCAATCACTGAAGAAAGAGTTTTGCAAGGGCCAAAGGGCTTTACACAGTAGCACATGGGACTTTATAAAGATTTGAAAACCAAGGGTGTTTTACAAGAATATTTTCTGATTCTATGGAAACAAATATCTTTGATATACTCTTGGGTATAGCCAGGATGAATTTCATGTGAGTATGAAAGTGTAATATGGCTTTTCCCTGACTGACAGAGAGAACAGCATCAGGCTGATCGGTCTCTCTAAACCTGAGCTCAATCTCCTTGCTATCCTCAAATAGTCTGATCTGCATTTTAACACCTCTAAAAAAATAGCAAAAATCTCTTTCCAGGAATTCTAAAGGTCCTCAGAGGGCAAGAAAGCCCATGGTTGCTTTTAAGGCTGGGGACTGTTTGGAGAGATACAGTATATTTTTATTTTAAATACTTCTGTATTGAGATGCTGTTGTAAAAACAAAATAGGCTGAATAACCGGAATTGTGGTTTGCTCTTGGAAAGCTGCCAGACGAATGGAACTCAAGCAACTGTATTCGGCATAGACACGTACAAAGGCCCACCCTATAGTGCTCCTAAATTACCTGTCACTCAGCCAGGGTGGTTTTAGACTTAATCGTTTCTGGATAAGAATGTAGCTCAGGAGGACACTGCACCATGCTGGTGTCACAGCTCATGTATTCAGCGGCAGGAATTAATGCTACTCTGTAAAACTTAACAACGGGATGGGAGAGAAGAAAACAGCCACCGCGATGGTCAAGAAAGTCCGATCACGTCCGTAGTCGGGCACACACCATGCAAGGAGGTGAAGGGACTGCGTGCACGGAGCATGTGAAAGGTCAGGCACGGGTGTACAAGAGCCAAAAATCACCTATCCAGAGGAGCAGATGACCTGCCGAGGTATGGGGGTTATCCAAGCTAACAGATGGGCTGTGATCAAAATGTAGTGCTAGATGGGAAGTGGGAAAAGAGCAGTAAAATCACACAGATCCGTAAATGTACAAATTGAAGACACTGATAAAACCCCAAAATGACTGCCTGCTTATGTGGAAGTGGATCAATGTGGTTGTCGTACCACTTAGTACCTCACCTGAAAGGCTGGGGGCAGGTCTTGCACAATAGCAGGGGAAGAAGCAGCCCCACCTTCTCATAGAAGGGATTCTGAAATTATATGGAGGGGAGAAATCACAATCTCTAGATGAAACGATTTTCAACTAAAGTCTGCTCTTAACTCGCTAAGTCCAGTCTCCATCAGCAAGAGCCATGACCAGTCCTCATAGTCACAACCAGGACTACCTGCGCCAAACCGCGAGGCTGTGGGGCACGGCGAGGATGAGGTGACCTCCTCTAGTTTTCCCAGCTCTGTTTTTGTTGTGCTGGTGAATGTTTTCTCGGCCTGCGATGCTACCCGGCTGTGCTGAGCAGCATCAGAGAGCAGCTAACAGTGAGGAAATGTCTCGTGAGAGACTGCCCCGGAGTGGGAAGCAATCAGATCTGCGCCAGGAGAGTGGAGCACCCTGTGAAACGCCGTAAACATCACCGGCAGCTCTTCTGGGCAATGGTAATGATTTAGTGCAGGACCTTCAGCCAGGGAAAGCTCTCCTGGCTAGCCAAGGGACTTCAGCCTGCTCTTTGTGTTGTGTTCTTCAGGTGACATTGTTGCTTGCAAAAATAAATGGGAAGAGGCAATTCTTGCCTCTGCTGAAGAGCAAAGGTACGAATTCGGGGCAAGCAGAGGTGATGCCACCACCGCAGCGTGCCCCACCAGCCCGTGCCCTCAGGCTCTGGGTCAGGTACCTTAGAAAAGTTCAGTTTAATCCCCCGTGCCCAAGTTTTCCATGGTCCCTAGGGCATGATCAGCTATGCTACTTCATCCCTGTGGCATTTTTGGTGCGTTTTGCATCAGCTGGTGTAAAATAGTGAAATTGTAACTGGACTGTGTTAGAAAGGCTTGGTAGTGAGTTTTACTGGCTCCGTAACTGTTACAAGATAAAGGCACTGGTGTCAGTGTGCCCTCCGTTATCCAGAGTCCCCGTTACTCATAACAGGGTCTTGCCCTTTGACATGTCTTAATTATGTGGAAATTCCTCTGCCTCCCTTCAAATATTTATCTCTTGTGTGCAGGCGAGTTGCGTTTTTTCCGTGTTACTGTAGATCCATAGCTGAGCCCCTGGCCAGATGCTCACCTCAGATACAGGGGAGGTGCAGCGGAATTAGTGGGGGGATTTTTGAGATTAAAAGTCAGCGGAGGCAGAACAATGCTGGATAGTCTCAGGTGAGATTTTATGCAAGGTGGAAGCATCTTTTTTTTTCTCGCATAAGGAATGCCTTTAATTCCAGTGAAATCTTTAACTCCTATCAAGCGGGCTGCCCTTTCCAGTCTGACCCATGATACCGTTAATAGCCATCCAAGGGTTTCCACTTTATCTAAGGAAATGCATAATCAGAGGGGAGGAGAAGGTAAAGAAATCCATGCCTACACTTGACTCATACAAAGTCTATTTTTATCGTATTCAATCAGGAACAATCAGGCGCAGAGAGGAGACGCAGATGAATTTGCATGATCAGACTTCTGTGTCTTAAATGTTAATTAAAAGTTATTTTAAATTTGCCTACTGTGCAGAACTTGTTTTTATAGTAGCCCGTGTAAGGGAAATATTATTTCGCAGGGCTGAAGTGCTCGTGATTAGTTGAGCTTGTGGATTCTTGGGAAAACCTG